TATCCCCTCTATAATGTATGCATACATATATGATATATTTTATACACACTGAAATATCGATCTTTTTACGAATGTTACAACTAAATCACAGATTTTATTATGCATTAACGAAGCCCAAAAAGAATTTCATCTACTAAATATTATAATATTATGATAAACACTCATGCTTGTACACACAACTATGCATATTTTTCTAAATCTTCAAATTCTTCATAAATTATTCATAAGTATTCGCAGTCGAGTTGCAATAATCAATCACTATTTGCTTATCTGGTTAATTTGCTAATCTTATTCCTCCACTATTTCAGGCCTTTTAATGCTGTTTATGATTGTAGAATTATTTATTTGCTATCTTTAAAAGGACAACATAAGCGATCGTACTCTACTTTCTTATCGAATGTTGAATTAAAATAATCCAATATTAACTTGACTAATATTATGCGAAGTCTATTTTTAACAAATATGCAAACATTCAGTGCTCGATTTGTTTGCGAATCAAATTTTTTTTAGTCAATAACTTCGTACGCTGGATATGGCAATAAAATTCAGTTTCTCGGCGAGTAACATAATTAACGCGTTCCGAATACGTTTATCACGTTTCAACGTGATAAAATACAATACACACAGCCTTCGACACGTGATAGATCGCTTTTATGAGAAATATTACGTACACACGTTGACATCATTAATTCATATGTTTCTACACGTATTTCCTTTCTGTTTCGCCGAATAAATAAATACTAATACTTATATTAACCAATAAATCATCTGTTTTTCTTTACGATTCAATAAATTGTTTCCACAATATTGCCACTATGTTACGTGATAAAATTTAACCTCACGCATTTATTGATTTGTTGAGTAATTTCGATGAATCATTTGTTTTCATTTAGCTTGATTAATCTCTGCGCTCGGGGTGAACGTTATTAAAATTATTGAAACACCGATTGTGATCGTAGTGTATTTACGATGGAAAAATAAATTCGCTTTCAAACCGTAGCTAGTTTATACCGCAAGTAATTTAAACCAGTGGCAAAAAAAAAAAAAGGTATTCTTAGCGGTCGTGTTAATTAATCCGTGTGACACACGGTTAGTGTCGAAGCTAATAAATGAATAACTTATCGCTTCGACACGCTGCTATTCAATAAGCTGCACTCTCTGCAATGCATTTTCAATGGGATTTGAATCAGATATATTGTTATTTATGAATTATTATAAGGCTGGAAATATAAAAATGAATACGATGAGATAAAAATAATACAATAAGTAATAAATAATAAGAATAATAATAAATAGCGGAAAATATAGTAATAATAGATAATGAAGACTATAAACTTGTTAGTATGCAGTTGGAATATATTTCATTTTCATTTGAAGAATAAATTTCACTCAACTCGTGAACAATGAAACCGCGAAAAAATACATGGCTTGTCACTGTTAAATATAAAAAATTGTAACAGTGGAACAATTTTTTAACCAATTACGCACGGGATATTATTCGTTTGTGTTATCGGTCTTGTGCATATGGTCTTCGTGAGATGTACGATAAGAATAATAAATAATAAAATGATAATTGAAAAATTCTTGAACTCAGATCAGTGAAAAATATTTCCTTCGTTTAACGTGACAGAGTAAATAATTAAATAAATAATTCTTACCGTCGAGTTTTGATATTTCCAATATGGAAATACGTATTAAATATTCATTATTCAGCAAAATATATTGGAGATCTATCAATTCCCATCTTCTTTTCCTTAAGATTGTCATTAAAAGTATAAAAATAACTCTCTATCTAGTGGCGTATTATTTATTAACTTATTATTTGAATAAAGCAACAACTTTGAAATTAACATACTGAGGTCGTTTTAGATTGTGCAATCAAGTTATAGTGGCAGTAACAATATGAAGAAATTAGAGTAGCACTGATAATAGCAATAATGTCAACAGTGGAGGTGATAAAGCAATCTATTTTGTGAAATATTTCATTTCACATCATTGAATATGTATTTATTTATACCATAAATATTGATATTTTGAAAAATATGACGATGCAAATATTTTCTGCATAAAGTGGTCGTAATCAGAGGCAACGTGAAAAAAATAAAAAATATTCTTTTCTTTGTTTTACAGCACAGAAAGATTTTCAATAGAATTTCTGAATGATTCTACTTGATCTGTCGTATGTTAATTCTTTGGTGAATGATGCATTAAAAAATATTCTAATACTATACGATCTATCAATTCACCTTGAAAGATTAAAACAAAAAAACTAAAAGTACAGACATCTATATTATGTCTGTGCTCAATCAGTTCCTTAGATTAGGGATCTCCCCTGTTATTTAT